GAGATTTTCTTTTCCTTATTCTCTTTAATCAAATTCAGATTACTTAATCTTCAATTTTAGGCTGAAGAGACTTGACTAATGATAGGAATCTGTCTCTAAGCTGTTTATTTGTTGTTTGAGAAATGGGGCCTTGTCTCTCCTTCCCAGTCCTCTGACAATTTAGAAAGTGGAGAGCTGTCCTGTGTCTGAAGCCAGAGCTGTCCTGTCTCTAAGGCCAGCAGGAAATTTACAGGCTTAGGGTTGAGCCTTCGATCTTGCAGGAACTGCTGCTGTTTGCCCCGCTCCTGCTTTTATTTGTGAAGTTTATAGGAACATAATTAAATGCAGCCTCTCTGAAAGGAATATTTTCATAGATTCCTGTAGTCAACTGACAGGTTCATAAAAAAATTTACCACTGTTGAGACATAAGGATGTGTTTCAGTTTGGCTTCCCGCATCACCTAAAGATTAAATTTGCAATGCTGACATGTTTTAAAAGACTGGAAATGCAAATATGGTTCAGGTAGTATCATTAACTCATCTGCCTGACTGCTGTTTTGGTTTCCAGATGAAACACATATGCTAATGTCATTTCCCGTAAAATTACACATACATCAACATGTAGTCTTTTCAATGTAAGCATGTTGTACTTGTGCCAAAGTTTAGCATTTTGTCATATTTCATCAGTTTTAGACACAGCAAGTTAACAAAAAAAAAAAGCTCATCTCTATTTTATCATTTGTAAGTTGTATCTAGGTGGATATCAAAATCTATGGAAGATGCAATGAAATACAAGATAGGAGTAGTTTGTTCTGTAGGTGTGGAAGCAGTGTGTGATAGCTGGGCATTTATTTGCAGTTTGAATGAACCATGCTGATTGTGTATTGTAAAATCTTCTGTAGAGCTTAAGTTCTTACTTTAAAACTTCAATGTGATTAAAGCTTTTAATCTTAAAAAAAATTGAAATCCCAGTTGCTGTGTATTGCAGCATGTCCTTAGGTGATGAATTCTGGTTTTGACATAAAGGCTTTCTGTTTTGTATGCAGGAGGAAATTATTACTATCATATATTTTAGTCTTTCTGCTTACTGTCATATCCATAGACAAAGTGTATTTCTGGAACAGTAACTTTATTGATTCACATACTTTTGCTTTAATATGCCACCTATACAAAACAAATTCGTGTGGAAACAGCAATTGCTTAAGGGTTCTGAGGCTGTTCTGTAGCACAGGGAAGCCCAGCACTGACTACCACTGCTCTGCATAAGATTTTGAGATTGTGATGGTTCCTTCAAGGTAAATTCAGCATTTTCAGAAAACGGGGAGGGACGGAGAACTGTTACGGACAAATGACTATGAGCAGTTATCTCTGATAGGAGTGCAGTTTCTCAAAATGTATGTTTTGTATTTAAAATATTATTTTATTATATTAGCTGTTCCAGGTGTGTTACACTTTTATTTTTTTAATACCAAACACCTAAATTGGTTTGCCTCTAGATAGAATCTCTGAACTTAATCCTTTGGGGAAGGGGACTTAAGTGGTGCTTGTTTTGGAAAAATATTCGTAATGGAAAGTTTTCTGTAAGAGGGGTTTGGGAGAAGGGCCTGTTCGTTTGGTTTGGGGTGAGTAGGCATTGTCCATACAGTGTCTGATGTATATGAAATTTAATGGTTTCAAAGAGTTCATCCATATGAGTGGATTTTCTAGTTATGGTGTGTAAACCACAACCTGCTAGATTTTATTCTCAGCCTTTTACTAGGAATTGTCTGCCTAAAGGAGCAGGCATAATTGTTTATTACAGTTGTATTGATGTTTCTCCATCAGTAAATAATTTCCTGCAAAAGAGGAGCATGTTACTGTAGAAGTATTAAGTGTCTAGAGTTGTCAATAGTTTCTTCATATAGGAAAACTTCGTATTGGTTCACAAACTCTGGAAGAGCCAGCCGTTCTTTGCTGTCAGTTTAGTCGGCTTTGAGGTGAAGGATACCACTTTCCAACCTCCAAGAGATTTCAAGGATTAGTGAATTTGAGATGAAGTAGAAAGTTCCCAGTGTCTGTCTGTATTTGTTATAGTGTCTTACTGAAATGCAAGACCCTAAAGGCTTTTAGACACAAGCTATGGCTGATCGCTTGCAATATAGTCTGACAGTAACGTTCCACCTGTTCCACCTTCTTGGTAGCAGAATCATCAGATTAATTTGGCAAAAAGTGCTTGTTACATGCATAGATAAATATCCATACTGAATTGCCTGTTGCTCTGTTTCTGCAAATACAGAATGTATTTCCATATTACTTCAGACTTGTGCTAAGTGCAGCACTCTGATAAGCCATGGATGAGTAATGCCATTTGAAGCCTATCACCTCTGTTTCAGTCCTGTAATGGCTCTGTGATGCTTCAGCCGTTTCTTGGCCCTTTCTGTTCTTACTCATCATTGATTACTTAAGGCCGACTCTTAAGTGCTGCTGACTGGCATCTACAGCCTGTCAAGGCAGGTGCACCACGCCGTGAAGCTAAGGCAGAATGATACCTTTCAAGATAGCTGCTAGATTCTCTCAACTGGTGTTTTTCTGTTGAAGCAAAAGCAGTTGAAGAGTATAATGAAATGGGTATAAGAGGGAGGAAATTGCTGCAGACACAGTAGTCTGAGCCACTCTAAGTTATTTCTCTGCAGGCTGCTTCATGGGAGACAATGTCAAGGAATTCGCTAGGTGCCATAGCATCCAGAGCCAGTTAGGAGAAAATTACTGCAACTTTTCAGTGTGTGGGGGTGGTTTTTTGGGTTTTTTTGGATGATGATGTTGTTTTGGTATTTTTGTTTAGATTTTTAAAGCATAATTAAAACCACGTATGGCACATGATTAAGCTGCATATTTTAGTATTTGTCACTCCAGTTTTTGGCTGTAACCATCATCTCATAAGAGGAGGCTTTTCCTAGTAGTGTTCCTTCATAAAATCATTTAAATTATTCCTGGTTTTATGTTGTTTGGTATTTTTCAAACATACTTCATCATACTTCTGCCTCTAGTAACTTCTTTACTCCTTTTGTTGCTACTTGTTTCGAAACAGTTTACATGATTTTTGAGCTTACAAAAGATGTTCTACAACTCTTTTTTACAGCGTAATACTGTGAGACCGTTATTACTGTGCTCTTCATGCCTTAGGAAATTGTGTAGTCCACCCCTGAAATTTTTTTGGGGTAGTGCTTTTTCACTGGCCATAATACTTAGATATGAGGATGAGAAAATGGAGGAGAAGGAATGTATATTGACTAATACAGGAGTTCATCCCAGAAACTGCTTCCTTGAAACAACTTGATACAAGGGATATTGCAGCTTTCAGAGAAGAGAGCAGATTCTGAAAGCAGATTCTGTCCAGTAACTTTCTCCTTGCTTCCCAAGAAAAACAAAATTTGTGATTCTGTGTGGTGGTTTCTTAACTATTCTTGATACATTGCTTCAGATAGGTGTCACAGTGTCCTAATCTGGATCATGGGAGAAGTATTAAAATTCTATGATGAAAGAGCTTTTTTAAAAATTTGGGGTTTTTTGTGTCCATGGCTTGTTAGTAGAAAGCTTGATTGTTTTTCTGTGTAATCTGTAAAGCAGTCAGTCCATTTTTAACTCCTGTAGTCTGATTTGTGGTCTGGCAGTTAGCATGGAAAAATAAATCAGACTGATCTAATTTGATCAACTGGTGTCACAGGCATTGCAGTGAGGTGTTGGTGTGGAGTGGGTTTTGAGTTTGTCTCCTCACCCCCATTTGTTAAAATATTTCAAAACTTATCTTGGGAAAGAATATGTTGCAAATCTTTGTCCACAGTGTATGTGACAGTGTTAGATCTAGGTTGTAATACAGAGTAGCAGTTATTAGATTTGCTAAATATTAGAAACCAGTGTAACATAAAAGAAATTTTAGAAGAATGCTCAGGCTAGTTTTGGATTGACAATTAATGGCAATCATGTCTAGGGGAAGAGTCTGTTGAAGAATTATTTAAGATTGCTTATGAAATTAAGGGTGGAAGTATTTCTGATTTTATCTTTTTGGCTGTTCTGTTGGATAGACAGGAGATATTTCTGTGTATAAACTTCAAGAACTGACCAACTTGACTTGCTAAGCTCATGCTTATGGGTAAGGGTGAATAATCTTTTTAACAAAAGCTGGTTGTATCCAATCGCATGTTAAGTATTTACTGGCTAGACTAACAAGTTGGGTTTTTTCTAATGTTCTGGTGGTATTTTTCTGTTTTAAAAAAAGAAACCGAATTGATAATGTAAAAATAGGCTATGTAGAAACAAAGCAAACCTTTTTTAGTTGGCAGGAAACCAGGTTAAACTGAATCTCTTCTGTGCCTGCCATAAGACACATGCAATGTTTTGTTGCATAGCATTCTTAGAGTCAGGATTTTTAAAAGCATTGGTATGTGGAAGCTTTTGGATAGTTTTTGTGTGTGTTCTGAAGTCTTTTGATTTACATCAGAATCCTTGAGGCAGTACCTTATTTTCGAATCCTGATGGCTCCTGTTCTCCAAGCCAGGAACATTGAAGAAATGGAGGCTGAACACAAAGCTGTTGTAGACAAGTGCAGAGGAACTCGCTTTCATGCTTCCCTGGCAGACGTTCTTACTCCTTTTAGGTTTTCACGTTTAAGGAATTTCACAGTAACTTTTTTTAGTAGGTCAATCTGATGTAATTCCTTTGGAAATATAAAATATCATGTTATATTTACGTGTAGGTGACACTTTCCTGTAATCTTAAACATTTAGCAGTAGAATTAAGAAATACTATTATTGCAATTGGAAGTAAGATTTCTGGTGTTTTGTTGTAAGGTGCACCTTGCAGCGTTTACTGCTTACCAAGTAACACGAAGTGAGAGGGTATGCATGTGTAAGATTTCCAGAAATCTTTCAGTGTACAAAGGGGATTTTTACACTTATTTTAGAAAATGGAATTGATTACCTAAAATTGCCAATTCATGAGGAGTAAAAATAACACCTGTTTCTTTCTTCCTTCTCTCAGGTTTGTAAATACTACCTTTGTGGCTTTTGCCCAGCTGAATTATTTACAAATACCCGTTCTGATTTAGGTGAGTCTATAAGTCTTGTAATTTTTATTCACTTATGTGTAGTTAAAATTGAACTTTTGTTTGCAGACTACATTTTTATTGTTTAATGCTCTGTCAAAACACTTTGAAAATAGACCTTTTTTTTTTTAGGATTGCAAATAATATAGTACCTTAACAACAGTATTTATCCTAGATCCTACTTCTTCTAAGTGGAAAAGACTACTTTTTTTTCTTTTCCTTACACTGTAAAGCTAAATTATTGGGTGTGTGGTGGTTTTCTCCTCCTGAAGTGCTGCCTTCTAGTTAGGTTTATTCTACCTAGGCAGGGGTTTAACTTATTTTTGTGTGAGTATTACCATTAATTTCCAAGTCCACTGAAGAGTTTGATAGGCTGGGGAAGGTAGAAGATTTTAACACAACTACCTTCATGAATTCAAGCCAAATACTCTGAATATCAGTGTTTTAAGTAGCCAGTTCTTTATTACTAAGAACACTGTCTAGTGCTTAGAAAGGGCATGTTGGCATTACCCTTTGTATGTCACAGGTTTTTTGTTTGTTTGATTAAGGCCCCAAGTGTTTAAGGTATTATTTTGTTTGTGTAGTTTTACTGATGTAGAACTTGATCTGGAAATTCAGTTTTATATGAAGACTTTATATGTCATTCAAAATCTCCTTTGGTTTATAATTACTAAACCATACTGGCATTCTTTTTCTTTAATGTGTCTTTCAAACTCTGAGCAAAGGAAGCAGAAAGGCAGGCATAAAAGTCCCTGGGAAGTGTTTATAGCTCTGTTCTGTCATGGTGCACAAAAAAATGCTGATGAATTGTGAATATAGCATTCAAGAATGCAAGCTTAAACTTTTTGTGTGGTCTTTTTAGGTCCTTGTGAAAAAATTCATGATGAAAATCTACGTAAACAGTAAGTATATCGCTTGATACATTAATACAAATGTTTTTTCTAGTATGGTTGAAATTTTTTAAAAACAACCCTACCGTGAGAAAATAATTGCTTTTTGATTTACATTTAAAATTATTTAAAGGTTAAGTATTTCTTACTTTGAGCAGGAATTTATAATACTGCAGGTTTTGTTATTTATTTTTCAGATGTTATGGAGTGATGTGAGCTTTCATTTTAAAAATCTTTCACCAGGTACGAGAAGAGCTCCCGTTTTATGAAAGTGGGCTATGAAAGAGACTTTTTGCGCTACTTGCAAAGCTTACTTGCAGAGGTAGAACGCAGAATTCGAAGAGGCCATGCTCGTTTGGCACTGTCACAGAATCAACAGTCTTCTGGGGTGAGTCTTGTGGAGTCGTCAAGGCAATTTTTCCTCTAGATAGTGTCTGCATGTTCTCTTTACCTTGTCTCTTCAGTTAAAATGTATTGTTTTCCCAAAGATTTCCATTAGATAAGTCTCTTCATCTATGAGCCAGCAGATTGCATCTATCCCTAACGAACAAGCCGAGTGGCTCCACAGTCGGCAAGAGTCCCTCTTTAATCTCCCTGTCTCTGTTTCCTCAGAATCAGCATCTGTTCTCCGCCCTAGAACATGAATCCTGTCGAGTGTCGTTTTTACCTTGATAACTTGTTTACCTTCTTTCCCTTAGTTGCATATTCCTTCTTCCTTCCACTGGGCAGCTGTATCACAGTGATATTACTGAAGTAGACAAGGACTGGGTCTTTGAGCAGCTGATGGAGCTAAATCCCTGTCAGATGCCACACTTAGGCAGCAGCCTCTTTCTGCTCCAGCACGGCCATTGGCAGGCAATGATGGAATCATAAAAGTTTGAGAAATACATACTTCTGTGCATCTTTTATTGGTTTCAAGCTGCATAATAGACAGCTGTTAATGAAAAGCTTAAACTGACTGAGAGAAAAATTTTACCTGTTTACTGCAGTAATTTTTTTTTTGTCATCTGATGGATTTGGAGCAGTGACTGTGACCTATGCTCTGGGAGTTTTATGCCTGCCAGCTCCTTTGTGCTGCCTCAATTAATTGCTCTGTGCAAAGTCCAGTTGCTTCAGAAAGAGATGTGAAGAGTATCTTCAGCCAAGAACTTATTGGCTGTGGAGTAGAGCAGAAACTGGGGGGGAAGCAGATGTAAGTCTATTCCAGCAGCCTACAGACAGGATGCTACAAGTACATTTTGGATGAAGTGAGATTTTTTTTATGTCCAGAAGTTAAATTTCAGAGCTTACAGAGCTTCTAAGTCATACTTGAGTGTCTGCTAAGATACAATAATAGTAATAATAATAGTAATAGCTGCATGGCAGCCTCAGAATTTAAATTTAGGAATTTGAATACAGAATTGTTACCTTTTATGGTCCAGAGCCTTGAACATTTTTGTTGATTTAGGAGGAATTAGTGTGAGTAGAACTTGTTTCATTCAGCAAGAGTAGAGTAGGCTGTGTTGAGGAGTGTTTTATGTTAGACTAGACTATCATTAGTCTTCATGGGAGAAGAGGCAGGAGTGGCTTATTTCTGAGTGTCTCTGGAATATAGGCAGACTTGTCTTCATGTGTTTTAAAATTATTTTAACTAAAACCAAACCAAACCAAAACACTTCACTTGTACTGTTTGGCAGGGAGCAGGACCTACTGGTAAAAACGAAGAGAAGATTCAAGTGTTAACTGACAAAATTGATGTGCTTCTACAACAGGTGAGGTTTTTTTTACCCCCTCTAAGACAGATCTCTTGCTTTTGTTACTTGGTTAAAAACAATAGTTGAAGTTTTGTATTGTTCTTTAGATTGAAGAGCTAGGTTCAGAAGGGAAGGTGGAAGAGGCACAAGGAATGATGAAACTTGTTGAACAGTTAAAGGAAGAGAGAGAATTGCTGAGGTCTACAACTTCAGTAAGTAATGTGTTTGTATTTATGTCACACTTACTTAAAAATTTGGTGCAGCGGTGCGTTATTAATAACCTTGTTCTCACAGTGAAAGCATGCAAGTTCTGTGCAGAACTTGCTAGACAATAGCATGACATTTAAATGTGTTGATTTAGTGTGCTACCTTGAGAGGGGGTTTCATGCACACAAATTAGGAAATTTAGACAGCAGTCCTGGAGGTGAGCTTTCATCTTGCTCTAGTTCAGGGCTGTTGAGCTTTGCTGTGTAGCCTCTGCCATATTACTTCACTGAATTACCAATCTGACTGTGTTACAGAAAGCCCTTTAGTGTTAAGGCTGTGACTACAGACAAGTATCTGACTGAGAGCTACAGAAGCCAAAAGTAATGTGTTAAGTAGCAAGTTCCTGTCAACAAAAGGAGGCTATGTTTAAACATTATATTTTGGTGTTTCATAATTGGCTCAAATTGCAATTTCTGTTCTATTTTTTAAAAGTTCTTAAATGTTGCAGCCAAGTGGTGTTTGTGTCCATACTGTATGATTCATGAACATTGCACAGCAATAGTCACTTGGGTTTATATTGAAATTCCAGTGTATTTCTTGTATGTCTGTTGAAACAGTGAATTAATTTCACCACTGTCTTTTTAAATAGAAGCCCAGCATTCCTTTTTACATTTCTTCATGGGATATTCTAACCTTTTCATTCCTTGAGACATATTCCATGACTTTTTCTTTGTAGTGTATGTGCAATGGGTGTATGTAGCCTATTTTTGCCTTGTTCATCCTAGTAGGTGTAGTGCTTCAAAGACAAAGCATGCAGTTATGATTTTCATCTTTCACTAGTGCCTAGGGTTTGACAACAGTAACAATAAAGTTCTAAACCTCTTCGCTGCCTTCTGATTAAAACTTTTCTTTTGCTTTATCAAATATTTTTCTTTTGCAGACAATTGAGAGCTTTGCAGCCCAAGAAAAGCAGATGGAAGTTTGTGAAGTTTGTGGAGCCTTCTTAATTGTAGGAGATGCACAGTCCCGGGTAGATGACCACTTGATGGGAAAGCAGCACATGGGTTATGCCAAAATAAAAGCTACTGTAGAAGATTTAAAAGTAAGCGTTACTTCTGTTATTGAACATTAAAAAATTGCTTGGAGGCTTTTTATGGTAAACAAAAGGTTGTCGAGTGGACTTTCTGAAGTGGGTGAAATAGTCCAAAGGTGATATAGAAAAAATAAATGGAATCCCACTGTACATTTAGCACTGTGCTTGCACTGACATTCTTTGTCATGTGTGATTACCCTAGATTTAAGCAAAGATGTAAGTTCAGGTGGGAAGTTTTTTGTGGGCTTTATAAAGTGTGGCCTCTGTTCTTGTGAGAATGACAAGCAAAAAAGTTCTGCAAGACAAAGGATTTCCATTTCAGGGATTTTTGAAAGTGGGCCATCCTTTGGAAAAAAACCTGAAATATTTTAGAAGCCTAAGCTTCTACATCCCGAGAATGTATAGACTAAGTTATATTGAATTATTTATCCTGAGTAATCTTAATTTATTTCTGTAAACTTCTTTTTTTAAGGAAAAGTTAAGAAAAAGGACAGAAGAACCTGACCGTGATGACAGGTTAAAAAAAGAGAAACAAGAACGAGAAGAGAGGGAGAAAGAGAGGGAACGGGAGAGAGAAGAGCGGGAAAGGAAGAGACGACGTGAAGAAGAAGAAAAAGAAAAAGAGAGGGCTCGTGATAGAGAGAGACGTAAAAGGAGTCGTTCACGGAGCAGACATTCAAGCAGAACATCTGACAGAAGATGCAGCCGTTCACGAGACCACAAAAGATCAAGAAGCAGAGAAAGGAGACGAAGCAGGTATGCGTGTGTGTGTGTGTAAATGTGAATATCTTATGGCTCACATCACTGATTTGTTAGCTTCACCGTTGTTCTCTCTAAGAGAAGACGTATTTCATTGGTTCTAAGTATAAGCAAATTTTGCTGCATGTTTTCTGTCTGTTTTTGTAAGGAGATGACACCATTCTGGTGGAAGTGGTCTTATGAGGAAGCTTTGAGTAGATAAATGCTTCCAAAGAACAGGATTGTCTTGATTTCTTCCTTAAGTCAGTTTTTAATTCATAGTAGTATATATTTTTAAGCTCTGTGGTTGAATGTTTGAATAAGTGAAGATGGCAATGTGAAGCCAGGTCTTAAGCACCTAGAAATGTTTATATGCAATATGTTAAGGTTTGTTTTAAATAGTTATTATTTTCTGCAAGTAACCTACGTATTTAAAAGCACTATTGGTTTACTGTTTTATCTTCTGAGTTAGAAAATACCAGCTGACATTCACATTTTTGAAATTTTCTCTGAAGGAGTCGTGACCGAAGAAGAAGCAGAAGTCATGATAGATCAGAAAGAAAACATAGGTCTCGCAGTAGGGACAGGAGACGATCAAAAAGCCGGGATCGAAAATCCTACAAGCACAGAAGCAAAAGCAGAGAGAGAGAACAAGACAGGAAGTCGAAAGAAAAAGGTATGTTTGTGTGAAGAGTGAGTTCTTACCAAGTTCTGAAATTAATCTTACCCTAAAGTCTGAAAAGCTCTTAGTCTTTCAGTGAGTGACTGAAAGTTCTTCTTAGCATCAAATCAGATCTGGTTTTATAAACTGTGTATGTTGCTGTTAACCAATTTGAAGCATTTTGTTCATTCCAGTTACTGTTAATGCACATGTGTGCACACGTACACCCCAGGTCCACCTCTTACCTATTCCAGTAGTTATTAAAAGCTTACTACTTTGTCTGCAAATTAAGTGTGCAAGGATTTTGGTATGTTTTAAAACCTGTTTACCTTTAGAAAGACATAAGACTGTAATCTGATTTTTGTAAAAGTGAATACCTTCTATTCCTGTTCTTAGCAGATATTTCTGTAACTGCCCTTTGCTGGTACATGTTTTGTGGGAGACTGGTAGCTAGTTTTTCACCTGTAGCATCTATAACTTCTCTATACTATCATGTTTTCTTTATTTTCCTTTAACAGTGCTTTTAATATTTTTTCCCCTAATCTGTGAATGCAGTCCAATATAAATCTTGCAGAATTTCTGTAATGTTCTAAATTACAATTTCTCCCCAGTCTCCTGCTCTTCCCCCAATCCCTTCCCTCAGCCCTTTTGTTTTTGGTTGTTTTGTTGTTTGTTTTCCTTTCTAAATGAAGTGATATTTGCTTTGCCAGCATTTGGATGAGTCTCGAAGGAATGCTGTATTAGTCCTTGGAACTCTTCTATAGCAGTACATGCCATGTAGAACAGCATTGATGGTGACTCACTGCTTCATCAAAGGCTGGTGTTCAGAAACTTTAAGTAGGATTTAAAAGAGTTTCGGAGAGAACACTACAGGTTCACATTCTGTTAAAAGATACTAATTCACTGTTACTGCTAAATTTCCCCCTTCAAAAGTTTTGAAACTTCTGGAGGAATGTAATACTAACTTCTGGCTTAAACTGCTGGCTCTGTTGGGGTGCTGACTAATGTGCAGTCTGAAACAGCCACTCCACTCCGTAATTAGAGCTGACCGTCAGTGATGGATGAAACAATTCTGTTACGTTGCTAAGGTACTTTTGAGATTCTCTGGAATGAAAGGTGCTATGTGCATGTTTATGGATTGCATAGGCCTGTTAGCCCTGCCCTTTTCCATATTTATCCAGCAGATTAGTTCCTAAAAATGTTAGCAATGCTTTGTATATTTTTTCTTGCCTGACGTCCTTGGACCATTTTAAGTTTTCTGGTTTATACTACAGTGCATCTTCAGCATTGATTCTTCTCTCATTTTGCTTTACCCTTTATAAGCAAGTGGGTTTTAGCTGCTTGCTCATTGGCAGTGGAACTGATGCGTAGTGTTTAAACTCAGATTCAGTATTGTCGCTTTTATCTGTCCACTTGTTACTTTATTACTACCTAATTTTGTGCCTTTTTTGCCTATTTTAAGAACAGATTTCTGGTACTTAGTCAAGAATGTCCTCTTCAGTATTCTGTGTGTATCTATGCATATAAATAACTGTGTTCTTATTTATTCAGATTTGGTCTGTTTTTGAGCTTAATGGCTTTTCAGTTCTTTCCTAAATACTTCCATAGAGGAGCTAGTGAACTTTCTTCAGCATCTCAATATTTTTAGTTTTAACTTGACAGATTTCCTTGCTGGCTGTTTATTTGCTGCCTGCCACTTTCTTCCTCCAGAAATGAGAACAGTGAGGTGATGCTATGAGCCAAGATGAAAATTCCACCTGGGAAAATCAATTACTCTCTTTTATTATGTAATCATAACATTTGTAGAAACACAAATAGACCTTAGAACAGGACTGTGATGCTGAAGAAGTTGGTGTTTGCCCCTTTGTTGGTAAAATCTTTAATTAAAATTGAGAAAAAAGGGAAAGGAAGCCCCAAACTAATAGTATTTAATGAGCAAGCACTGAATTTTTATGATGAAGCTGTAAACACCATTACATCCTCATGTTTGTAATATGGCAGTGTAGTGTAGGCAGACAGCTTTAGAGGTTCCTGTATCTGAAGGCCGTGTGGCTGGCTACCCGCTCTACTGTTTGCACAAAAAAAAAAATAAAATGTAGAAGTTAAGTCTTGCTGCATTTACTGCTCCATCGAGAATATTAGCTTCAGATTCTAATGGTCTTTATATGTACTTTTGATCTACAGTTATGAAAGTAAGTAGCAAAAGCCTGGCTGTACTCATGGTAGTGCCTTTCATCTTGGTATCTCAAACTGCTTTATAAACGTGAATCTTAACAGGAAGCAAGACACAGTTGCCCAAGACTTGCCTGCTGTTTCACATTAAATTAGTGCTATACTTTAAAAATTCAGGAGTACTGGCTTAATGTCACTAAAATACTGTGGAATACAGTGACCTTTATGATTGTATGAAAAAAAAGTTATGTAAAAATGGAGACACTTAATTTCTGAGCCAAGTTTGAGGAACAGAGATACATTTGCTGAAGGAGGGAGCCTGTCAGCCGTAAACACCAGCTGAGCATTAGCTTAATACAAACGAGCAGAATGGAGCTACTGTTCAAATAAACAAACTTCAGAGTATGAGGAATAAAATGTTTGTTTTTCTAAAAAAAAACCAAAAAACCCCCGTAACATCTGTTCTGCAAATACCTTCATTTTATGAAGGGCTAATACTAGAACATGCTTCCAGACCGTTCTAATGTGGCTCTATACCTTTCTTAATCGGAATTCATATACTTAAAATATATTTGTGATTGTGTTTTCATGTTAATGATTAAACCTCAGCAAATACTGTCAGAACACCCTCAGTAATACTGGATATTCTGTTTGACTGATTCTTGCATTCTCTATACGGTAAAACCATTCACATTATCTTGGTGAGAATTCTCACAAAATATATCTCAGTTGCCAACACAAACTCAAATGAGAAAAATGTACATGTGTTGAATCGGGAAGCAAAGTCAGTATTATGTGAGTATACCTAATAGATCACAGCTGAAATAATATACACAGCTTCAACAGCAAGCTAATTGTATATGCTTTTAAAGAAAAAGCTCTTACTGATTGAAAATACAGTAGGGGAACTTAACTGCTTGCAGATACTTCAGGAGTTGAAAGAAGTTCAGTTACTGGACTATTTGTTGACTGCACTTTCTCAGTTCTGCTTGGCAAACTGGAGGTTTGCTATGGTAAAACTATTATTAAAATTTTTGGAAGAGCTTCATCTTTCATACCACAGTTCTAGTACTTTTCTAACCTTAAACAAAATTATCCTACCTGACCAAATTCGAAAAATAAACAAGACAGTACAAAACCCTGCACACTGCACATCCATAGGGCTATTAAGATCTACCATATCTACATAGGACAGAAGATAAGATTATTGGACTGACTACTAGTCCTCTGCGGGGAAACAAGACTACTATTCCTCAGTGGATCTACGTGTGCATCGGAGATACCTATAAGACACAAAAAGAAGACTTTTTAACAAGGTTAGTTAGAGTGCAATCTACCTGCGGAGTTGCAAAACTGAGGGCAGACAGATACAAAATTATTAGTTCTTCAGTTAGTGTTTTGACATCACTGTGTGCTTTCTCCAAGCACCGTGCACTGGATGTGCTGCTTCCAATGAAACCTCAGTAGCAGTGTTCATTAGGCAGTTGCCCTCATTTTGGTGTGGGGGCTTTACCCCTCCCTTTAGTGGTCTGTTTTAAAACAACAAAATTGGGATGTTGCTTCTCTTTTTAAAGCTTAATTTCTGTTTTGTCTTCTGGAATATAAAAGTGTGTTATTGCAGTCTAGGTGATAACGTTATTTAAAATAGCATTTTCCGAGCATTCGATGTGTTGGGGATATACATATATATATATTTATATTATTTATTTTAATTGCCCGGATAACAGGGAATAATCAGAAAAAAGAGCATGAATGTTGTTCTGTATGATGACATCTGAGAGGTTGGTTTTTCAGATTTATTTTTTTTCTCTCCAAAGTGTCTTTACTGATTAAAGGTTGACTATTATGGTGTGAAATAATACAGAAAGAATTGGTGTTTTTATTAAATTTGCAAATACTGACTTTACAGATTAGGCACACAGCTCTAATGTTTTCCCATGGAAATATTTTTACTTCTGGCTTCCTTTCTTCTTTGAAGATTATTGAGGAAAAGACGAGTTTTTCAGCAGTGTAGCAAACTCTTCAGTCAGCTTTCCAATTCACTGTTAAATTGTGGGATCCTTCCCATCTTGCTGTTCATTTCTTTGGAAAATAGTGCTTTTTATATATCTTCCAAACTGTCTCCCCAAACCTTTTTTGAGGGGATTATAAATGACCGATGTTTTTATAAAATTGAGAATTAATAATGCTGACAAGTGTGCAGCTTCTGTGACATACGCTACAGTAAAGTTAATTTTGATTGTTAGTGTGATCCCCATCTTGAAAGCTAGTGGTGCTTCATATTGTTTCCCTGAGCATTTGATTGATTTTTTTTTTTTTTAAATTGGCAAGTATTGATTTATTTGATAATGCACTGATGCATTGTCCCATCACGCTTTTCTGAAGAACCATATTTAATGAGAATTGTAAACCAAAGAAAGCCATACATATAATAAATTATAACTCGGGGACAAAGAGAGTCCCATGATAAGTAAGGAAGCCATGCATCGTAATTACACATTTGCTTAACTTCTTGACTGCCTCTTTACCCCCAAGTGGTTGTATTTCAACAGACAGCTAAGTGGCTGCCTCTCTTAGGAGGTCTGTCCTTTCTCCTCTTTTCCCCACCCTGTACTGTCCCCTTTGACCTTTTTTTGTACCCTCTCTGTTTCAGCATGGTAGTCTGAAGCCTATTTCGATAACTTTTTGAGTATTACTGTTATTGCTGTAGAAAATAATTTGTCCCATTTTGTATGCAATATATATCTCACATGTGCAATGTTTGTTTTTACTTTGAAATCCATGGTCAATGTCTTCTTTCATGGCAGAAAAGAGGGGATCTGATGATAAAAAAAGTAGTATGAAGTCCAGTAGTCGAGAAAAACAGAGTGAAGACACAAATACAGACTCGAAGGAGAGTGATACTAAGAATGAGGTCAATGGGACCAGTGAAGACATTAAATCTGAAGGTGACACTCAGTCCAATTAAAACTGATCTGATATGACCTCAGATCAGACAGAGGTAAGTGCATTATTTCAAACTTTGATTAGGGCTTTTTGTTACTGTTTAACAGTGCAGCGTAAGTATGCACAGATGAAGATGGAACTAAGCCAAGTAAGAAGACATACTAAAGCACCTTCTGAAGGAAAAGACAGTGTAGTCCTGCAAAACATTTTGAGGTACATTGTTTTGTCTCAGCTATTTTGTAGCAGACTCGTGCCCCCATTAGTGTGCCTCTTTGGGACATATTTGTAATATAGTCACCATAGAAAAATTTATTATCCTTTTTTATTTTTAGGGATTTTGTTATCGTTTTTTTAAAAAAGTTGAACTGTTTTTGTATTTAAGTCCATATTGTGTTGATACATCAGCAGAAACTTTTGCTTTAATACTTAATATTTGAGGCACATGTTGGACTACTTTGTTTTCATATAAACTGCTAGTATTTCTTTGTCAAGGATGTTTCTAGTTTTTTTGCTTTATTGCCTTGCATTCTAATGCAGTTTGTTCTGTAACTCGAGAGCCAGTAGCATTGGATTGATGGAAGTGTAGGGTTTATGAATTATTGCAGCTGACTACCATACCTCACACAGCGTTGGTGTTGTGAGCGGCCCATGAAAAGCCAAATTAAAAATCAAGGATTCAGTCAAACTAAGCAGGTACTCATGCCAGGTACTCCTTTCTCTACCCACATCCATGTTTGAATGCTGTTGCCTGTAATCTTTAAGCTTACTGTTGTGTTTTTGATTTTCAAGATAGTGAAAAGGACTTTTTGTGTATTGTGTGAATACTGTAAATCTGATGTTAACAGAATGGAATTTTCTTTCAACTGTGTGTAGGGATGCAGTGCTGCCCAGCATTAGATATCTTTAAAGAGTTTAAAATGCAATAAACACTACATAATAATCGCCTTGTTACTTTCAATGCAATTCAAGTCTTTAAGAGGTATGTGTTTAATATTTCCTACTGTGTAGGAGAATTTGCAGTCAGCCATAGTACAGAGAAGTGGAATGGCTGATAACAGACTTGTAAGGCAAATGTAAATACAAAGACAGATGCCACCAAGTGATTACAATGTTCATGGCAAGAATGTATGCTGAAAAACTGTTGGAAGTGAAACAGCTAAACAATAGGAACTGCTGTATTAAAAGCAAAACTTGGAAGTTTTTTCCCTACTCTTGACATAGCTTTCTTACTCTTACAGAAGGTCTTTAGTTGTATTCCTGAAATAAGGAACTAACAATGGAGAGTACAGCTGATAAATGAGCTTCTTGCAACATAAATTGTTACTGTAGTTCCTTTATTTATGCTAGGAACTCTTAAACACTTAATGTTGATTATTAAACCATTAATGCTACATTATTGCTTCTAAAGCCAGTCATGTTCAATGTTGACATTTTTGTAGAGTTAAGATGACAGCTAACAACTGGGCCAATATATAGGAATGGTAAATTGAGTGCTCTTAATGCTGTCTAATTGTCTGTTTTCCCACAATTTTGCATTATAGGACTACTACGTGAAGAGTCTGCGAAGACAGCGGAAGACAGCTTAAACTGAAGATCTGCTTTAAAATGAGGTGAAAGAAAGCTGTAGTGGCGTAGAAAAATATAAAGTTGAGTTAGAAATTTTTTTTTAATAAAATTTAATTCAGGACTGGTGTTTCTTCCCAGAGTTCAGAAAGATGTGTTGGTAATAGCACATATGCTACTGAGAATATAAGTCCTGTATCCTTTTTTTTCTTTGACTTTTTAAGATAAGAAACCAACATAACCTGAACACATGGCTTGCTCAGTGTTTAATTGCAAGTTTTCATTCTTGGACTTCAAAACACAAGAATAAATGTTTAGTATTTGTGTGAATCGAACTAAAACGAATCCCATTTTTACAACTAAGCTATTCCTAGCTTCTTGATATACAAGAAATGGAAATAAAGTATCTTTGAATTTCTGTTACAAATTTGATTGTCTCTGTCATTGAACGTTTAATATTAAATAAGTTTCTTTCCTAATAAATCTACTCATGTCTTCAAGCTTAGTCCATTAATTTGGATGCTTAGTTATTCTGTGGTGTTTGTGGGTTTGGGATATTTTTGGGTCATCAGTTAGTATTTCATTTCAAGCTTACTTTTTCAGCAGTTAGATGCTGTTGGGATTCTGTGTCCCCCCCAGTAAGTGTGGCTTTTGCTGCAGTATCACAATAAATGTAGGCCTTAAGCCTTTTAAAGCAGTTATGTCTTTTACAGTGTTATCATAAAGATGCCACAGCTGAGATTGGCCATCAGACTCCATTTGTATTTGCACTGTAGTACCAGTTTGGAATATTAATTAAAAACTGTGTGCAGTTGGTAAGCATGCACAGCCTGCACATTAACAACAGAAAGGAAAAGAGATATCTCTTAGGCATTCTTGTGAAGCAATAGTGCAAGCAAGCGTAGTTCTCATTGAAAAAGAACTGCAATGTGTACTGCTCAGCAGTAGAGAGAGTGCAGTGTCTTAGACACTGAATTTACACTTTTAAAAAAGCATTAACCTTCATATTGGCATTCAGGACTTGACTGTACACGTAACTGAAGCCATACATGGACAAAGCAGCTGATTTTGCTGTGCCTTGTCTGTTTGTGAAACTGCACTTGACAACCTGCATGTTGGTCCCTCTGGTGCGATGGAGTGGTTTTGTTGATAAGGAGGGATACCACACACAGCCAGCTGTGTTCCCTTTTTTACTTTTATCTTTCTAAAGCAGACACCCATACAGGGGCATGGAGGATTGAGACTGGGTGGTGGGTTTTTGTGGAAAAATTTAACAAGAAAAATCTAATGCAAGTGGGCGCAAGTAAAACTATAACCAAGTTCTAATTGTGGACACTGCATGAACATCTGTTCCTTTTAAAACTTGTGTAAGAGACAATGAATGTGTTACTACTTCCAGTGGCTAAAATGTTTGTCTTGCACCTTCCGTTGCACATATTTGTTACAGGACTAGTGTTTTCCCTTTCTTGTTTTACATGGGTATTAATGATAAAATGAGGTAACTTGTAGTAAATTGGGCTGGGATTCAGATTCTGAGATGTCTGATATTAGAGTCTTTCTTCAGTGCATTGAATATGAAGGAAAAACTCTTGTCTTTCAGAGCATAGGAAACGTGGTGCCTTTCTAGTAACTACCTTCAGATTTGACTGTAACGAGCATCACCACCACAGATTCATCTGTGTGAAATGTGTCATCTTCAGAGCTCAAGCCCAAGATTATCTAGGAATGCTGTACAAAAAAGCAAGTAGCTTATTTAAGCAAGTGCCTCCAATATGCTTTCTCCATACTGGTTTTGGCAGCTTCACAGTCTTTTATTACATGTTAAAAGTGTGTGGGGCCATGATTTTTTTAAAGTTGTGTTAGAAATTTAAGAGGGTCCTGTCCATTCTAGAAGGCCATGTATCATCCCCCACACACACCATACTCTGTTTACCACCCACCCCACAAAAGAAAAAAGCTCTAGGTATTTGAAACAACTGATAATTTTTAATATAAGTGAAGAGTAGCAATGGCAGTTCAGTACAAGTTTGTAGTGCAAACAAAAGTTGTCCTTGGAAGAACGGTAAGTTTTGTAAACCTAGCTTCAGTTGTCGTACCAACAGTTCAAAGGAAAAAAAAAAACCAACAAAAACCAGTTAACATAACTAGTGTGCCTTAGAGTTTATCAAACTGCATAAAACATACAAAAATATTTCTCTGAATGCATAGACTTACTGTTATTATTACAGTCAGATAATGATTAAAGTTTTAGTCTTACCACATTAACAGTTATTCTTTGTGGAAACTAGAGCAAATAAAGCTTTTTTTAACCAGCTGCTCCTATTGCTGAATGTTCAGTAATTAGTGGAGGCAGTCTCTACACTGATTTCCTAAGCAGAGGAACTGAAAAGAAATGAGACACTCTTAATTTGAGCCACTTAACTACTGCTGTTTTCCAAACAGTTATTGCACATCATCTGAACTAGCCTCCACGCTATGCTGAAAAGACACAATTGTTAAAATAAAAACTCCTTTCCTGTCCTACAAGAAAAACTGAGTGGGAGCCAGAGCTAGGAAATTTTACTTTATACTGTGTCAGTCTTGAGCTTAGCAGGAATTGAATCGGGCTTTAAAGTAGCCCAGCTCCTGGAGAGAGAAGGGCCAGGACTGAGAGCAGGGAGCCAGCAGAGCTTGAGTGATGAGATGGCTATAGAGAAGTGGGAAAGGATGACAGTTATTTTGAATGCACTAAGCAAGGATTTTAAGCCTAGAATACCTTGCTGAAGTCCTGAACCCAGAGTCACCTGTCTCTTCTGCTGGCAGAAGGGGTTTCTGTGTTCTTTTGCCAAGCATGCTTTTACTGGCCTCGCTGGGAGGAGCCACCTCAAGGATAAAGCAGCCGTGCTGCAGGAAGCCAAGGCAGGGTGGCAGCCATGCTGCTCCTACCAAAACATGTTGATTGTACTATTTATGGGCTGAATGTCAACATTACAATCCAGATCAACAACAAACACTGCATCAGCTGTGCATAAACTCTGCTCTAATGGCAGCTTAATAAAGCAGAGATGGAAGGAAAATCAATACCATTGGGTGAAAAACAAGCAAACATAAAAGCAGCTCCTTTAGAAAAAAACAACTCCCTCTCGCCTCCACCCACCCTAGTACCCAATTAAGGTTTTTTGGTGCAAAGGTCATCATTGTTATGTTTTGGTAGAAAAGAAAATTAAAAAACCTCCTAAGGTGTAACTTTGCAGACTGCTAAGTTAACAGGAAAAGCTTCAGGCTGTCAATACTCCAGCAATGCTGCAACTTAAATACCTTGTTCAGACTGAAAGGGAGAGACTTCAAGGTATTGTTTTAATGATGGCTTTTGCTGCATGTTTTCGTTACTGACTTACTTAAATGCAAGTTAAGTAGTCTGTAGCTTAATCAAAGTCTATTTCTCCCCCCAAAAAAAAATCAGTTGAAAGCACTTGGAGGCATTCAGCCCTGTTGGTACTCAGCTGGCTAAAACTTTTGACACTTAAGTAAAAGTGACAGTAGACTACTGTGTGACACGTAGTTACAGGTTATTTGCTGATGGTGTATGTTTCCAGTTTAGTATGGCTGATCAAAGCATAGTACGCTCCTTACAGTTGCGGTACCTCAAGAGTACAGTTGTGCTTCTCCTGGTCCTCCCACAGCAGAAACTAACCACATACCCTGTAACTGCTCTGCGAGGGTGGGCCAAAAAGAACTTACCTGACTTTAACAGTACTGACTTCACTACTGTGGGTAATGCAGTCTCATTCCATCATTGGGAAAATAAATAAAGCAAGCTATGGACACAAATATGTGAGCCGCTCCTGAAACATACAGGCTTTCTTTTGAAAGGGCACTTTAATTTGCTGTGTGACTTAAATGTTCTTTAATTGAGGCTTCACTTTTTTTGTGGAGGTGGAGTAATGCCATCACTTAAGTTAAAATATTGTTATATGGGAATTAAACCTTTAAATGTGGACACTTACTCCACTTACTTTCAGCCCAGTGAAAGTTTTTCTTCTGTCACTTCAGAGCATTCAATATTTCTATCCCTAGCAGGGAAGACTGCATCTTGTTAAAAGATTAAGGACTTGTTTTACATTTTTAGAGAGTAACTGTTCATTGTATGCCAAATACCCTCTGATGCTTAACTTCATCAGGAAGTTTAAAATACATATATGCACACACATACATACACACACACATCCCCCCCATTTCCTGAATCTTTTCCATGACTCATTTGGTCAAAGACTGAGAGTACTCAAGATACTTTTCATATCAATAATTAAGTCTTTCCTGCCCTCTGTTGCCAAACACAACCAATAAACTTCATTGGAAGCATGTGATTTTAGTAGACAAATGAGGTATCCCTTATCTGAGTACAGTATCAAGTAAAAAAATAAAAGCAAAGGGGATATTAAATATAAAAGATAAACTATTAGTTAAAATAGTAACCCTAACATAACTTAAGGTTTTACACAAGCTTAATTCACTGCCTTCAAAAGGCAGCAGCACGTAATTACCAGGTTCCCATACTCTAGATGCACCTAGAGGAGTCAGTACGTCAGCTTCGATGCTCTGCTGTTGTAGCATGATCTCTCGGTCAAAGTTGTTGCAGCGTTTCTGAAAGGAGAGCTGTCGCTTTTCACAAGCACCAGCTCCAGCTCTTGGAAGTCCTGAAGCCTGGCAACATCTTTGTCCTTTTAAAGAACAGACAGAACGACGTGTTACTTCTAAACCTATCTGTTGTTTATTATTTATAATAATAGCTAAAGGAAGTAGAAACTAAAATTCCAGAGAGGCCACACCCAATGGTAGGAATAGATACTGAAAGAAAAAAATCTTACCAGTACACACTCTTGCTTTCAGAGCATGTTTGGTTTTTGTCTCCTTGAAACCCTACGTTTTTTCTTGAACCTGTTTTTGACTGTGTTTGTGCATGTTGCTTAAGAGTTGTGACCAAAAGCCTTTAATTTACAGATCTTCAGAACAGGCATTTTTGGAACAGAAGAGCATGTTCATTTGTTAATGGCATATCTATTAAATTATTCACATGCCAATTTGTGGGGTTTTTTCTCCCTTTGCTATTTGTTCTTTTTAGACAAGCAAACAGTGAAGTAGTAGATGGCAATTATGTTAAAAGCACACTAATGCACCGTTTCTGGTACCTTTTTAATAAAAGTCAAGCTGTAATAGTTTCATGTGCTTCAGCAGCTGAAATACTCTGCCTATTTTGACAAGAATAGTTTTAAGTTATGATCAAGTTTTAAGGAAAGTCCAAAACCCTTTTGAATTTGAGTGTAACTCAGTTTTGCCAATTGTTTTACAGAAATGCCTTCTTAAAACACCTTTGTTGTCTGCAAAGTCTAATTAATCTCCAATTTCAATTCTTACCTTTCTTACCAGCGTATTAGGTAATTTTCTGATCTTCTCTACTTGTTCTGGATTAACGCCTAATTCACAGCAACTCACTCTGAGCAGGTCTCGATAGGTCAGTTCTTGCCTGTCCAGCTCAATTTCAATGAAGTCATTGTCTCTGAGGTTCTGGACTCTCACCTTCAGCACAAGTTCTGATTGAAAAAAAAAAGATTAAATGTTAAAAACAAAAAACCAAAACCCAACTCAAACCTAACACTATTTACCATTATCTTTCCAATTCAGGTTTTATAATACAATGCCTATTGTTTCACTGAGAAACACTGTGCAGTTAATGGAAGCTTCTATCTCAACAGCAATAAAAAGGGGAAGCGTGGTTACCCTGTTAAAAAATGTGCTCCATCCAATCACAAAGTCAAATTGTTACCAAACTACCAGAAATGCATTTGATGCTGTATAATATCTTGCAAAATGTGAATTTTTATGTTGCTTGGACTGGTCTTTCCATTGGTTTGAAAAGTATTACCATGTTAAAATATAGTCTAACAGTTATTTTACTTAGCAGAGCAGAAAAAAAGTTTGGGTACTTTTGGCCAAAGAATTCAACATCTCTGTCTCTATTCCACACGAGTCTGAAAGTGGAACAGTTCTGCAACCTCATCACAGAATCACAGAATCGCTCGGTTGGAAAAGACCTCTGAGATCATCATGTCCAACCGTTCCTGTCTACCCACTAAACCATATCCTTAAGTACCTCATCCACCCGCTTTGTAAATATATTCAGGGATGGTGACCCAGTAACCATCTTTCACCCAGTAACAGAACCATGGCACAGAATACAACAGAAGGATGGGAAATTGCACTTCATTACCTTGCATGTTATATGGGAAAGATCCAGTAAAGAAAAAGGGCTGAAACGCTGCTGTGGGACCAGTAGGTGAACTGTTGGTCTGCAGAGGTCCGGCCTGTTTGGACGCTACCGGAGAGAACAGAGCTGGGCTGCAGGATAGGGATGGCTGGGAAGCGGGGCCGTTCTGTACCTCAGGTTCGATGCGTTTGGGTGCTGCAGCAGCTGCTGACGGGATGGGCAGCTCTTCTGCAGCGTCTAGTGCGGGAAGATCCTCTTCGCTGTTGCACGATGTAGGTGTGCATATGCTCTCGACCTGAGTTGCAGATGAACAAGGGCTGGTTTCGCACTGGGAAGCAGATGAGGTGGAAGCACTTTCATTCTGGGGATCTGCCAAGCTGTCTGAAGCGTTTTCTTTAGTGTAAACGTAAGGGAATGGTGGGCTGGCCAAGTAGTTTGCTACAATTGGCAAATTTAAATCCTTCACTCCTTGACATTCAGTTTCTTCTTCAACTGAAGTTCAAAAATGTGGTAGGGGATGGAGAGAGGAGAAAAAAAAAAACCCACCATGTTATTGGATAGATGTGTCTCATTTTGAAATTTCCTATTGTGTCTTAAAAGTACATCACATACTGAGGTAATCACAGGATGATACTAATGTATCAAAAGCATGTAACACCTGGAAGGCAAGCAGCTGTAAAAGGAAAGAAAATCTACAAATTTCTACAATGTGTTTTTTAAAAGCAAAGTGGGAAAAAACAACCACTGAAAGACAACATTTCTAGCAGTGTTATTCAAAAGAACTTTGGCCAGTGCTTTGCTAAATCTCATTTCACAATACTTTTAAGAACACTGCTGTAAATAAGTTCATTATGACCCATGCCAACAAATTAAACTGAGTATTTCTTCAGGTAAGTGACTGTTTGATAGAATAACAAGATAAATACCCAAGCCAACTCTTCTCTTGCTTAAAGTAATGCAATAAATGGCATTGTCGCCTGACTGAGGATTACAGGACATTAATGCCAATGTCAAAGCAGTTCAGAAAGATCTGCTCAGCAGTGCTACACTCCCAGAATAAAAACCAATTTGGAGAATATAAGTGGTATGTGTTTGTTCCCCAGAAAACATGAGAGCTTAACGAACAGAAAAATAAGGCAACTATGAGCAGAGTTCATTCATGCACACTTGATGGTTTAGATGTTAAAAACACTCCAAGTCATTTGCCATGAACTAATTCCAGGAGGTGAGCGCCTTGCCCCAGAACCAAAAATGCTCATGCAAAGAACACACCATTCCTTCAGTTGTGACTGCTGTAACCTTAGTCATAATTTCCTGCAGCTTCATTTAAGGTAACCACGCACTGTTGATCTAAAAGCGTATCATTGTAGAGAGCAATTTAAGTGCAATTACCAGAAGATAGAATATCAACATTTCCAAGGATGAAGCACTTAAAAATTGTAATCTAGAGCACAGTACCTAAACACTGATGGAAATGGGCACTGGCAGTGTTCAGGAGTGTCGCATACATCTAACTGCACACGAAAAATGTAAGATGACACAATTGTGTGACAAAAATGTATCACAGTGCAAATCACAGTATAACAAAATGCTCAGAAGCCGTAACTTCTGAAATGCTGCAGTTGTTCTGAGTGGATTTATAAGATTTCTTATGGTCAGACAACAGTCAAATTGTACAACTGTGAAAGCCTGCAGGTTAGCTTCTGCTTAATGAGCAAACAGGACTGCAGCAGCACATTTCCCAAAGTATACACCTCTTCAAACTTTTGATGACATAGCTCATCATGTAAGGCCTTCCTACTTGAAATCCCCAAGTCCATTTTCAGTCTATAACTGAATTAGTTACAAATTGGAGATATCTGATGACATACAATAGTCCTAGCCAAAGTTCTGCCAATCTACTGCCTGAGATTAAAAGCACAAAAAATGTTTCAGTCTTTAGACCAAGAATTCCAGATGACATTTAAGATAGCAATGGTACCTCCCAAAAGCTTCTGGATGTCTGGTTTCGAAGTTAACTCTGCAGCCAGCTCCCCGTTAGCAGTGAGGATCTGCTTATTGGCACCAGCATCCAGCAGGCAGGACACCACCTGAGCATGGTTCCGCTTGCAGGCCCAGTGCAAACAGGTCCTGGGGAAGGAAGCAGAGGGGTTGTGTTGTCAGCTTCATATCTATTGCCTCAGGTCCTCCTCACACACCTGAGATGCAGGCAAAGCCACAATAACTGGGAATAAAGTTTCCTTCATGGCATCACTTTTTTAAAGTTACGGATCTATTTTAAGTTCA